TAAATCTGTGTCGGTCGCATATTACAATGGGGTTGAAGCCAATTATTAAAAGCATCAAACTAGATAATATTGTCGTTTTTGGGGCGAAAGTTATCCGGTCCTGAAAAAAGGATGAAGCTTTCATTCACGACCTCAACCCCCGAACGGACGCCTTGTCCTCGCAAAATTACGCTAGCACGCTCTAATTACCTTTTTTTAAAAGAAATCCTTAACTCCCGTAAACCAGCTTAAAAAACCACAATGGCACAATACAAAACACAATAATAACACGTGTTCGGCACAGTCCCAATAACAACACTTAACTGTAATGTTTTAATTTACGGTATCTTACAACTACACGTACGGTCAATAAAAAAAAGCGTAATTTAAAAACACGCCGGCTTTTATCACGTATTTTGTTTAAGCACAACACGAGACTTACGACCGCTGACTAACAGCAGCGGCTTCGCGGGGAAAGTGCTTTGATCGAATCTCCCTCTTACTTCCGACTCGTAGTACGGCGCATGTTTTCAGTTTCGAACTTTTTAGGTTTACTGTACCCCATCTGTAAATATTTATCTGCCAATTAACCATTATTTTCGAAGGGATCAATTAATATTTGCGCGAGAGAAGCGAAAAATTAATCATACACCTAATCTTTTACAAACGGATCGATTCGCCGCTATCGCTATCATACGCTGTATTAGGGGTGGAAGAAGTGTTTCTATCTTTGGTCGCGGTGCATGTTACTTAACACTCTCCCTTTAGCATTGAGTTGTAAATAAAATTGAGGGAGCGTGAGTGTGAACATCGTGAACTGTCGAGATATACATAAGATATAAGGTGAGGGCACACTTTCAAAATGAGTGTGACCCTGCGTACACCCCATTTGCCCAAGATTTTAGTTGTGTTTAAGTAAAATATACCATTTAAACTAATTAAAGGGTGAATTAGTGACAAGTTTGCAGAATGGTTAATGTTTCCACTAATCATATGGATGAAAGCTACTAATGCCAAAAAAACTGTACCCACACCAGGTTTGACAATAACTCAATTTATTTTTTAAATTAAAATAACGAAATCTTATAATATACAAAATTCCCAAATACTCCATTTAAGGAAGATAGTTGCTGGACGACGCGTTCACTTACAATTTTTAAAATATGCAGTAATAAATTTTTATACAGTGGTACCTATGTACATTAAAAGCTCGCTCTTTGTACAAAGGATTCATATCTACATTTATATATTTATAATCTATGGAATTTATACAATTTCATCAGTTTAAACAACTTAAGAGCAAACTACCAACAAACGATTGAAATAAAATAAAAAAAATTCAAAGTGCGGGGCTAACTATACGCCAAAACTTTTGAATTTTGAATAATTAAATCAACCAACAAACGTGAAATGTAACTAACAAACACCAACAAACGACCAACAAATGATTGAAATAAAAATACTTTGAAAATTCAAAAAATCGGGGGCTAACTATACGCTCAAATTTTGAATTTTGAATAATTAAATAACGTCCAACCAACAATCGTGAAAATGTAACTAACAAACGCCAACAAATGACTAACAAACGATTGCCTTAAAATATTTTGAAATTGGCACATATGCTCTTTAACCCTCCCTGTTAAAGTTCCGATGTGGCGCCACGCTCATTTGCCTCTGGAACCCTCGCCAGGGGCTACACAAATGTTTATTGCTAATAGTGGAGCCATTTTTTTTTCGACTCTACAAAGCCCCATGGTTGTGAAAACACGTTCACAATATTTATATCCAGCACTGGGGCACAGGATTGAGCTCATATGAGTTGCCTATCCACTAAAACGCGTGTTGCCTACTCCTTTGAGTACTGCTAAGGGGCTATCTCAATTAAAGTTTATCTGCCTGGACTACCCAGCTTCTCGCCATACGCTAAACATGCAAATTTAGAGTATTTGGTATTTAGAGATAAAATGGGGGGTGATTAACCCCAGGAGTTATTAGTTCCTTACTTCACTCCCACCCCCGATACCCACACAAAATCCAGTTTCTGCCTTGATGCCGACCTCTTATTTAGTTCATCTGATGCTAACTGTGCCATGTGAATTCTTTCCATTTTCGTTGTCCGGTCAAGAATTTTGCAGTGGAATTTTTTTGTTCAAATTTTCAAAAACTAATTTCATATTCATGATTTTCATACTCAAAAACCCTCAGATACCAATTCGTTGAAATTAGAATTTTTTGCACCCCGAGGTAGAAATTTTGAAAAATGCCAATTCGGAAAGGGCATACCCGGAAACTTACTCAAAGACGTGCCATCCATCAGTCTTTGTAACTCTTATGAATGCTAAGAAAGACATTAAAGAAGAAATGCAAATTTCACGACTTATTATTTATTTATTTATTTGTGTATTTATTTATTTGTTTGTTTATTTGTTTATTTATTTGTTTATTTATTTATTTACTTACTTATTTATTGTCCCTCTCTTGTTCTGGACCCTCAACAGGCTTTTGCCCAATTACAGAGTGAGTAATACTTTTTGGAGGTGCCCCTGTAGAAGGTCTCAAGTTGTTCCATACTACTTCGATATTTACCTTACGAGTTAAGAAAACTGCAGGAAAGCCTAATTCAGAGTAGCCGGCAGGATGCTCGAACGAAACCGATCTAAGGCTCATTCCCATCTTTACCACACATGAAAAATTCTTACCTTAGCCCAGGTTCGAACACCCGACCTTTCGGCTATGTAGTCCAACGCTCTATCACTGAAACACATAGCCGGTTTATGGGGGTGGTCCCCAAACGAAACATGTTGGGCCCTCTGTTTATTTGGAAAAAGTGCTTGTTTTGATCCCCTCTACCTTACATGTAACACCCTGTACAAACATTTGCAATACGAAACGTCGAAAACGTTGAAACAGTGAATTTGTAATTTAAATTTAAACGTGTGTGCATTCACATTCATGATAGAGACGCATGCGGTACGCAAGCCGAACGTTATGTATTTGTATGTGACTTTAATTATTAATACATTTAGTAGAAAAGTGCTAAATATTGTTCCACAAATGCTTTTCCATACACATCAACAATTAGGGAACAAGTTATAAGTGATCTACTTACATTTCCACTTCATATATGAAGAGGCGGCCATTACATGCACGTACAGGTTTCGTTAACACATCTATATTTATGAAGAAGTTGCGTTGCGATAGAAGATTGCTATGAGGATGTAAGATTGGAAAGCGGCTTTCGTCGTAATAATCCTGGTTTTGTCGTCGTTATACCTTTCCGTAATAATTGGGGAAACCTGAGTTATTTACTTGCATACACATGTATGTCATATCGGCCGTTTGAAGATAAAGTATGTTACATCACGTATCCCCTGAACAATCGTTGATATCGTTTGCGCATTAAGACTTTGGGGTAAATTATCATTCAATTTATCATTACAATATTCCTTCAAATGGTGCATTAAATTTAAGATATAGTTTTCAGTTGCATTGCATTATATTGTTTAAATTCTTACCTATAACATTTGCATCATAAATAAAGCAGACGATTTATTACATTCATTTGACTGTATTTATTGATTCTAGGTATAATTCAGGTAACGTATCGATTTTGATCTTGATGGTATATTTACATTTGGCGCTTTGTCTGGGTGCAATTAATTTTTGTCATAAATCTACCACATAACATACAACAGATATTTATATAGGCACAGTTTTTACAACGAGTTAGAACCTAAGGAGTTCCTACAAGACAACGAGGCAGTAAGTGAAATCAACAAACAGTGTCGTTTCAAGGTCAACCGTATACACCGTGAAACATCACAAGATCTTCTATTCTTTATCTAGTTTGGTTCTGATTACATTTATAATGTATTAGTTACCCACCCACATCTCTTTCGTATTCGATACAATAAAAGTAATCGTGTCTAATTGCAAGATAACGAGGGATAGAATAATCCTTTAGTTTTGTTACCCAAGTTCTAAGCTACCTGAGTTGGATCGCCCGCGGGCATACACATGGTTGTTTTCACTGGTTTTCTCTACCAATTAGAGAAATTTAAAAAAATACTTTGACACACCTTACGGTTAAATCTAAATGGCTGGAGAGAGCGACGTGAAGTGAGAACAAAAGGCTAGAATAGAACAGCAAAGCAGTAATGAAAAGTAAAGTAAAAATGGATATAGAAAGATGACAGAACGGACAAAAGGAGGAATAAGGGAAAAATTGAAGAAAAGAGCAAGTGGTAAAGGAAAAAGGAGAACTGGTGAAAGGAAAAGAACAAGAAAGTGGGGGGTAAACTGGAGGATTAGGTATAAAAACAGAGTGAGTGACGATGAAACAGAGAAAGAGAAGACAAAGGACGTGCGAATGGCTGACAGAAACGTTACAAGTAGAGGTTATGGTATCTTTGTTTAGTTGCAATCGAGTTTGTATCGTCTTAAAATTTCTTTACCTCTGTAGATTTTGCAATTTTAATGAATTCCATTTTGTGATGTAAATTCGGTAGATCTGTGAATTCGTTGGATTGTCCGGATGAGGTAGGTTCTTTATCCTGTAGATTATTAAATCCATAAATTTAAATCTTAAGTTGGAACATTTTAAACACTGTCAACTCCTTTACAACTGAATAGATATTATTTCCTTCTTTAGGTAACTACATGCGCTCTAGGTCCGTTGAGAAACTCCAAACTTGTCATTCTAAGGCCAATATGCATCTGACCGTATTAACTTCGTAAACCATGCACAATTTCCGTAGAATTCCCATGCCCTCCCGACCGGACACTTTTGAAAGCACAACTCCTTGTTTTGTTGTTATTTAAACAAATGTGCAGTGCGGAAACTCGTGGATAATCGTTCCATCCCCACACTAACTAAGTATACAAGATCAATTTTATTGTTATTTAATTAATTTATTTATACAATAATCTGCAAGACTGGAATGTGTGGAATAAAGTCCCTAGATTACTAAGGGACTTTAGTGTGGAATGTACAACTGCGCCTCTACGTAGCTATGAGTTGCCATGGTAATTTTACAAGTGCATACAAGATGCGCATACCGTAGGGCGTAGGCTAAGCAGCTTTATTGTCAAATGTCAAAATACCAACATGACCAATTCAGTCATTAATCATTTTAATCTAAGAGGTCGAACACTTGGTAAAATGCTCACCTTGCATATTGTACTTGTACTACAGTTTCCACTTTTAGGAAAATTGGGACCTCTATTACACCATCCAAAAATTAAACATTCCACTCAACCCCCAAGTCAAACGAAGTCAAGTTATGGAAAACTGAAGGACGAAGACAGAGTTTTTACAAATTTGTACGGAAGACATGACTGGAGACTGCAAGGTGCCCTCAAACGAGGCGACTGGTACAAAACGAAGGACATAATGAATAAGGGACCAGAATGGATAATAAGTATGCAGAATCACTTATAAACCTCACAGTAATCTTCGTTTCAGACGAAATAAAGATATCCGGTTTGCGAGGTCGGGGAGGTGCGGGGTTTCCGTCTGGTGTAAAATGGTCATTCATGCTTAAACCTCCCGATGGTCGGCCAAAATATTTGATCATAAACGCAGACGAAGGGGAACCTGGAACGTGTAAGGACAGAGAGATCATGAGGCACGATCCTCATAAACTGGTTGAAGGGTGCTTACTGGCGGGGTTTGCGATGGGAGCTAAAGCTGCGTATATTTATATTAGAGGAGAATTTTACAATGAGGCTTCTAATATGCAAGTTGCGATTGCGGAGGTGAGTCCGTTTGATGATCACACACAACACTTTGTAACTGTCTTCAGGCGTATCAGGCGGGTCTAATTGGAAAGAATGCATGCGAAAGCCACTACGATTTCGATATTTTTATGCATAGAGGAGCAGGTGCATACATTTGTGGTGAAGAAACTGCGCTAATTGAGTCTATAGAAGGAAAGCAAGGGAAACCTCGACTAAAACCACCGTTTCCCGCAGACGTGGGGCTTTTTGGTTGTCCTACAACCGTAACTAATGTTGAAACAGTTGCTGTGGCCGCTGTAAGATTTTAAGGGTGCTGTATTGGATAACCAGCTTTCATCACAGGCAATTTTAAGAAGAGGAGGTTCTTGGTTTGCCTCCTTCGGCAGACCCAATAATTCGGGTACGAAATTGTTCGCCATCTCTGGGCATGTTTGCACTCCGTGCGTTGTTGAAGAGGAGATGAGCATACCATTACAAGAACTTGTCGAACGGTATGGAGGTGGTGTCGTAGGTGGTTGGGAAAATTTACTGGCGATTATACCTGGTGGTTCATCTACACCTTGCATTCCTCAAAGGTTGAGTAGTATTGCTTCAGGTTACCCTACTCTTGTTCTCTTACAGCGTGTGTAATACTGCAATAATGGATTTCGATGGGCTCATAGCGTGCGGCACGAGCTTAGGTACAGCAGCCGTGATTGTAATGAATAAACAAACCGACATTATTAAAGCAATTGCTCGACTAATAGTCTTTTACAAGCACGAATCGTGCGGACAATGCACTCCTTGCAGAGAGGGTAACCAACTGACTTCATGTAGGCATCAACGTTTGCCTTACTTTCAGGGACGAGTTGGATGGATAAAATCATGGCGCGACTGGTGGACGGAAACGCCAGGTGTGAGGAAATTGATATGCTATACGAAATCAGTAAGCAAATCGAGGGCCATACGATTTGTGCGTTGGGAGATGCAGCTGCTTGGCCCGTTCAGGGATTGATTAGGCACTTTCGTCCCGAAATTGAATGCAGAATTCAAAAGAATCAAGCAATGAAGTGCTGCCAGTAACCAACTCCATCAATTTCTCTTTTTGTGTCTGTTATTCTGTAAAGTTCAGTCACATGTACCGTTGATATTGTAGATTCTAGAGGATAATGTTAATAAAATATTTGACAACCTAAAACCTTTTCTATTTTCCTTTCCTCTAATATTTTCCAAACTACCCTGTCAAACGCCACCTTTACCTCTATGAAGAATGCTATCACTATGCCTCCCTTCCATCAGTGTATGTTTTACAAATATACAGTGTGCTTTCCACTTCTCTGGTTTTCCTCCACTCAATATCTTGTTGTTGACAGTTTCGGGTCATCTTTTCCTGCCACTATTCCCCTCTTGAGGCTCTCTATTTGTCGCTGCATCTCTATTCTTGATATATCTTCTTCTTCTTCTTCATTGCCTGCCTTTTGGTTTCCCTTCACATTCTTTCTGCCCTTTCGTGTTTTCTTTATTACATGTTTTTTTGTACATTCTCCCTTGTTACCTCAACTCCGCCTTTCTTTCTTTTTCTATCATTGTTTTGAACCTATTGTTCTCTCTCGCCGCTTTCTTTTACCTCTGTCTATGATACTGCATTTTTAGTACTCTCCGTCATTTTAATACATTCTTTCTATTTTGTCCCCATCTCCATGTTCCCTATCGGATCGTGTGACACGTAGCAACCAAGGAAAAATGCCGGTCAGGTGGTGTGAATACATGTACCCGGGTGATCAGACGAAGAATAAAACCAGTTCTAAGTAAATTGCTGAAAGTGAGACCTCACAAACTAGCCAAGCAAGAAAAGAAATGCGTAAGGCTATGTTGGAAGCCAAACAGAGATTAACCGACCTTGAGGAGAACAGGTAAGCTTCAGAAATGGAGGCCAAAAGTGCGCAATTTGTGTTCATATTCGAAACAAGGAAGGGCGAGGCTATAGGGACTATTGGCGAAATGCCGTGTTGCTCAACGAGATTATTGAGAAGTTGCCATGGACAACGAAAAATTCATGGGCAATTCATCGAGAACACTTCCTTCATCACCTACGTTGAAGGATTTCGTTTCTGGGTTCCAGTTGGTGACTGATTCATGTCAAGTCGCACCCTAAAGTAGAATAAGTCAAATAAGGGAGGAGAAGGGAATTTTGGTAGATCAAATCTATTGGACGGAAAGGAACTGCAATTCTGCTGACCTTGGAAGTGACCGGAGAGTTACAAGATGAGTTTTTTTCATTTTGAAAGAGTGAGGACCGTAAGGGATTTGTGCATCCCTTACCAATCAAGACATTACTGAATCGTTGGCCACATTTACAAGAAGTGAATTTGTCTGAGAGGGTGAGTGAGCCACAAATCCTAATAGAAGAAGAAAACATTCATCTAATCATTCCAAGAGAATGTATTGAGCCTCCCAAAATGAACGCTCCGTGGATATCAAGGTGTAAGTTAGGTTCAATTCATGATGCAAACCCTAACGAGACAAGCATAAATGAGATGCCCTTGTTCGTGGCTGAGAAGAAAAGCTCAATTAAAGGGAGTTCATTATTAATAATAATAATATATTTGTGCTAATATCACTGCGATTTACACTCGTCAAAATTACAGAGGCATTTGGAAAAAGTATCGAAGATGAACATGGAGTTAACCACGAGGAGAAATTGGGAAACAGGTTTGCTGTGGCGTGATGAACATGTTTGTCTTCTTGAAAGCAGAGAGCAAGTTTTGAGACGTCTCAATTTTCAGGAAAAAAGGGAGAAAAGCCAGGTCTTGGCTAAGCTCTACCGAGACAAAATGGCTCACGATGAACAAATGGGATATGTTCAAAAAGTTGATATGGGTACACTCAAAGCAAAGTGAATTTGGGCAAGGTATTTTGGAGTTTTCAATCCTAAAAGGTCAAATAAAATCAGAGTGGTTTTGGATGCGGCCGCAAAGAACCATGGAGTAATCTCAACAACAACCTTCTCACGGGTCCTGACTTGCTGAAGCCCGTTTTAAAAATGATAAAAATGTGGACGACGTTCAGGGACCAGTTGCCCTCGCGACTGATATCAAAGAGCTATTCAACCAAGTCCACATTCGAGAGGAAAATAAATATGCGCAAAGGTTTCTCTGGAGGAAAGACATTTGAAAAGGATTACCCGGGAGTAGTTAAAGCCACCTGAGAGCGATTGATCACGAAATTAGATCTTTCATGGTATTCTAGTTAAAGGTCTCAACAAAAGGAAGCATTTTTTACCAACTACCACTCTTTTTCTGACCCCGTATCAAAAGAGGGGGGGGGGAGTAACTGGTTGTATCCTTCTTGGTACTCCAATGAAAAGTCTCAACGAAGGAATTAATTTCTACACCAACCATAGTCCTCTTCCTCGATCCCTATCATGATCGGATATATTCTTTTAAGTATATCTTCAGAACGAATTCTCGGAAGAGAGACGGATTGGGACGTCTGGAAGAAATATATCTATTGGTAATGTCAAAAATTTAAGAGCGAATATCTCGAAAACGTTTTGTCGGAGGAAAATACTCTCAAGGGCAAAATGAATCGACTGGAAGAGAGATATCTATTGCTGAAGTCAAAGCAAATACCTTGACAACGAAGTATCGGAAGAGGGTACTCACAAAGGCAATCTATTAGTGATGTCAAAGCTTTCAGTGCAAATATCTGCAGAATAGATTGTCGGAGGTTTTTGAAACAGCCTTTAAATCTTTATCTGTAAAGAGCCTCCTCCCCATTAATCATCTACCAAGAAAGTAAACATCGATAGCATATGCTACTACCATATATAACCCAACCATTTACTAAACTATTTCAGTTTAAAAAAAAGCGCTTTATCTGCACAAGAGTTGTACACAATTTATACTTCTTTTATGTTGTCATGAGCAATGGTGTTAGGACTGTCCCGGACATTTTGGTTCATTACTCTTTTCTTCGTCAGTCCTAACAGCACCCTTTTGTTGCATTCTTTATCTCGCGATATTCTCTCTTGTTTGCTTTTGCCTATCAATACCTAATATCCTTTATTCCTTCATTAATAAAGTTTATCTGCATAATACTATACATTATATATTATGTACTACCCACTAAATTTGAATAAGAGAGGCAAAAGAGAAATACCAAAAGAAAAGAAAATCTCTAACACATTTTTTGGGAGTAAACCAATACTTTCTTTTGAGATAATGGAAAGTTTTTGCCAAACTCCTATATTTCAATGTACGGTCTTTTGTATCCATCATGTATACTAGCATTCAAAGGGCCTTAAACTGCTTTAAGGTTTACAAATACTCAGGCAATGTCTTGTTTGCAATCTTCAATCGTTTTCCTGTATTTTGCTTTGTTTAATTATTGACGAGAATATTTTCATTTTCAAATGAGAGTGCCACACCAGCCAAAATTCGTAGAGGTATGTCCAAGAATTGTTATTGGGCTGCAATTTTACGCCATCTAAGGACGTTTACTGACATTGCAAACCGCCAATTTAGTGGAAATGCCAGATAAGATAAGCAATTAAATAATAAATAATGTTTATTATTAAGCAGTTGTCTGTGATGGTCTGACATTATATCCGGTGTTTTGTGAGACACTGTTTTATAAGGAAATATTTCGAAAATGCAAATTACGCTCCAAAGTCTGACGTTTGGCACTGTGCTCGTTGTAGCAGTAGGTACTGTACTTTATTACTATTTTAAAAGAAATAACAACAATACGCACACACAAGACGATTCCGATGATGGGGAATTCCCCTTTGGTGGTCCAGTCGACGAACGGTATTGCCTATCAAATCTATTATTGCAACCTGTAATATTGTTATCCTTTCAGTGCACGAAGGAGAAGGAACGGCAGTTTAGGAGACACGAAATGCGTAATTTGTTTAGATCCGTTAAGAATATTTATTACCCAAAGTCTACCTTGTAGACATGTTCTTCATTTACACTGCTTTCGTTTGTGGATAAGGGGGAACCAGGCAACGCCCGTCTGTCCTGTTTGTGGACGAAGTGCCTTCTGAAATAATTTGATATTGGTGAAAATCTCCGCTGCTGCAAAACGACTTAAAGACATTAAACCCATTCGGTAATTTCCTAGTCAATTGGTGGACAGATTTTCGCGAATAAGTGTACTGCGTATGTTACCAGAATCTTTTATATTGTACTACATTATACAATTAGAATAATCCTTTAAAAATTAAAGCAAAGGAAAAGTAAAATACCTACTATTTGAAGGTGAGTTTTAAGCAACACATTGACTAATTGCCTATTCACCTTCTCCTAGGCTATCGCTCTACCAAGAGATATTATACACTACAGCAGAAAGTACAGATTTCATGCTATTGTAGCTCAAAAACCGTAGACAAAATGGAGCTGTCCTCCTGAAAAGGGACAAGCTTTCTTATGAAGCAAAGATTCATTAAAATGTGTAACATCCCCCTAAAAAATATCTGTTCGCGTCATAAAAAATCCTCACCAAGTCTTCGAACCAAATCTTTTATGAAATCTTGTTTGGCCGCTGCCTCATACATAAGTATATAATTAAAATATTAACCTTTGTCCGTACCCTTTGTCCCTCATTTTGTAACACATAATTGCGGGACAACCAAGGGAGAGTATTGTAACGTGATTTATAAATTCGGGTTCGATTTATATCAATATTTATTAAACAAAACTAAAACACTATAAAATCCGTACAATTTATATCGATTATTTATATCACACACTTCGAAATTTATATCAGCTTTTCGCGCTCTATGTTTCGTCCGTACTCGATCTCGTTCGATAGTAGACTAACTGCCGCGATGTTCGGTCCGCAACCATTTATACACGCAAGCAATGTAAGTCCCGAACATTCTCGAATACGCGTAGAAAATTCCAGAGCGCCAAAGGCGACGTCATGTCTGGAGCATTTCCGTTACAGTATATAATGTATGCTGCAGAAGAAATCCATCGCGTTCTAGTTTGCTTAAAAGTATTTCTACGCTCTATTCGTACTTTTAGTTGAGTACCTAGTTAAGTCTGAATATCCGTGAAGGCTAAATTGTGCCAAATTGATCCTTTGTCTACAAATTGCAACGTTAAACCGTTTAATCTCTATTAGCTATTGTATAACATTGAGGTGTGTTTTAAGGTCCAGTTTGCATTGGATTCCATGTTCGGGAAATCTTGAACATTCCCACAAGTTAGTTGAATATTGCAGTGTTCACATTGAGATGAGACAATGGATTGGAACATTAATGTTGGCTGGTCCTTTAAATATGTATCATTGCTTATGGGTTGAGCATGGAGGAGTTCAGGTACCTATAGAAATTACCGGGAACTAAGTCAAGGCAAAGTTACATCAGGAGTAATAGTAAACTTCAGTGAAAATCATCATTTGTTGAGAATCCAAGGTCTGGTGACTGGGAAGTGTTATAGATGTCATGAATTCGGCCATACTATGTCGAATTGTCCTGCGAAGAAGCTCGATAAAAAGAAAACTTACGGATAGACCATGTTTTTTTGCTGTATCGGCGCTGAAGTGTCCAGAAAAAGGATGGCTTTTTGATTCTAGCGCAATTTCGCACTCTTGGAGAATTTTCCAGTTTTGAAATTATGACAGCCAATAGCCCTACAATGGAAGGACAATTTTTTGAAAATGTCAGTTTGCCTGTGAACGTCATTAATCCGAACGAAAGTGTGAACTTACAGTATGTTCTCCATCTGCCGGAAATTCACACGAACTTACTTTCAATTCCAAAGATTGTGAGCAATGGAGATTCGGTTATCTCCAACAAGCAAGGATGCAGAGTTGTTAATCAGAACGATGAAGTGATTGCCAGTTGCAACAGGAAGTAATGTTGGATATTTGTTCAAGTTAGATAAACCGAATGGAATATGATATGTGTATCAATAGAGAAATCAAGAAGTTTGGCTGATATTTGGCACAAGCGTTTGGGACATTCTTGTAACAACAGTACACGAGTATAATATGGGTTGAACATCTTGTTAAGGGAATCGATCATGCTGCCTTGAATATTTCTATATGTTTATTGGGTAAGATTCCTCGTTTGCCATTTAGTAATGTTGGCTCAAGAGCAACAAAGGGGAAACAAGTACCATTTTTGGTGTACTCCAAAAATTCAAATTAATTCACGTAAATTCATATTAATTTATGCTAATTCAAATTTATTCACTTTAACTCAAATTATAGTTCACGGTAATTCGCGTTAATTTAAGTTAATTCACGTAAATCTAAATTAACTCACTCTAATTAAAATTAATTCACTTTAATTCCAATTAATTCGCGTTAATAACAATTCATTCGCGTTAATTCAAACTAATTCAATGTAATCCGTACAATTTCCGAGGGGGAAGCACATTGATACGCCATGAGCTGTGATGGAGTCACAAATTTGGGCCAAATAACATTGAGGAAATTTCATTACATTGGGAAATCGTTCCTAGGGTCGTTCACTACCTCATAAATCATAGATCGGTTTTGTTGACAGCTGTATCGTTTCGCTTCCCACTAGTTTAGTAACGTAACTGCCAAATGTCTAGTCAGTCCGTCAATTCCTGTTGGCGTAATTATGCCAAAAAAGTTCGAAATGGGTTCTAATAGTGTCAAAACCTAGATCATTTTCTCTTTCTGTAGTAGATATGACGATTGACGATGGTTAAATTAAACCAAAGATGCGCAATTAAAGAGTTATTATCATGCTTTAAAGAAAACGGGAAAATTTCGAACACTTCCGAAGAAAAACCGAATATTGCCGATATCGTTTTTATTTTTTTCTGATGTCTGATGTTGAACAGAGAGAAAACAAAATTAAAAAAACACTTTCTCATTGCTACTTTCTGAGCTCTAGAAGACAGCGTTAAGAGACGTTCACTAGAACGTTTTGTTTCGGAAAAATCATCGTCAACTTCATTTTTTTATATGGTTCGTAAAAAAAGTACATACTGTTTGAGAACCATTTTTTATTACGAATACAACGATGTACACAACAAAAAAAAACAAAAATTGGAAACTGTTGGTTTCAACGGGATGGCGCACTAGCGCACATCGCCCTAATAGTGCGAGAATACCTATATCGGGCGTATTTCCCATTTCCCCCGGAAATTCACGTTAATTCAAATTATTACACATTAATACAAATTATTTCACGTTAATTCGAATTATTTCACACTAATTCAAATTATTTCACGTTAAATCAAATTAATTCACACTAATTTAAATGATTCCATATTAATTCAAATGAATTCACGTTAATTCAAATGAATTCACGTTAATTCACATTAATTCTAACCAATTCACGTTAATTCTAATTAATTCAGAGGGGTGTACACCAAAAATTCAAAGTTGTTTCTCCCTAGTGTATACTTGAACTGCTTCACGCTGATGTTTGCGATCTCATGGAGGAAATTTTATGGAACGGTTCAAGGTATTTGGTTGTGATTATTGGCGACTTCTTCAGAAAAATTTTTGGGTATATCTTGAAATTCCGAACAAAATTTAACACTTATATGGCAGAAAAACCAACGGTTTGCAAAGTGAAAATTCTACGAGCAGAGAATGGTTCGGAGTTTTGTAACTGAAAACCCTGATTATAGTGGCATATTTAACAGAAATCTACACCATATACTCCTGAGGCCAATGGCTTGGTGGAAAGGATTAACAGAACCTTAATAGAAAAGATGCATGCTGATTCATTCCAATCTTGGGTAGAAGTATTGGGCCGAAGCTGTGAATTCTGCGTTATATTTGATGAATCGTTTACCATGTAAAGGATTGAAGAGAAAAACACTTAAAGAAGTTTGGTCGGGGCGGAAACCAAATCTGAAACATTCGAAAGCTTTTTGGAAGCAAAGAAGTTATCCATTCCAAAGGAAAACAGTCAGAAACTTGATCCAAAATGGAAAGAAATGATTTTCATACGATACTGGGGTGGTTCAAATTCGTGGCTCACCATTGGGACCTCCATAACGGTGAAAGATACATCAGTGTAGGTTAAATAAGGGCAAAGTTGTCCCTTTTTTTGACTAAAAAAACGCATTTGAAATTTTTTTTATCTTTAAAAATAGGTAACCGAGATATCACCGAGAAACTGAAAATGTATAAAATTTCGTTTTCATTGTTTGTAGCTTAAAGGGTCGGAAATTGACGGTTCCCATTAGTGCCTTCTATGGGCACTTTTTTACGAAAAATATGAATCTGTTCTCAGAATTTCCATAACATGCTAGATGTAGAAGTACTACTTTCTTACTTCCTATAGACGTCATATTGATTTTTTTCGGAATGAGATAGAGAACAAAAAATAAATAAATACAAGAAATCTTGCAAAATCCAAGTCCAAGGAGTTTTCATCTTCTACCCAATAAGAAATTAAGAAGATGAAGGAAATACCTGATCAAGAAGTAATTGGCTGTCTATTATACATGTAGCGCACTGCATAAATCAGCAGACTTGATATTTCGTACGCAAACGAAAAGAAAAAATTAACACTTTAAGTTAGAGTTCAAGAGGAATGATGAAGACATAAAAGCTTCCACTGGCGCTGATTGGACCAACGATTTGAATAATCGACACGGTCAACCACGGGTTACAATTTCATTTATCAAAATGGAAGTATCTGATGGAGTTCCAAGAGTCGGGCAACCGTAGCCCTATCAACTACCTACTGAGGATGAGTGTACCTATATAGGTATGTCAGTCTCCACCACTTGCCAAGAAATTGTTTGATTAAAGAAATTGTCATCGGAAATTTGTGAGGCAGAAGAAAAACCTTGGAATTTGTATTAGTCATTCACGAAATTGTTTTGGGTGTCGCAAAATGCAGTTCCAGTAGGGACGCTGTTTTGTTCTCATTAGTTTCAGTTGGTCAGATTATAGATGCTTCACTTCATGATTATTATTGTTCTTTTGGTAATAAACTTATTAATGACATTATAGATCTCCAGCTTCTAGAAGACAACTGCGCGTCATGCTTGTATGAGTATGGCCAATGCGCACTCAAAAAATGTACAAATTGATTTTGTTCTAAATAAAGTTCGGTGGGAAGAGGAGGTATTTGGCTCAATACGGCGCTGGCAACATTCGCTAATCCAATAATAGTTACAACGGTAAACATTGCGTCGTAGAAACATTTGCGTAATTTCCATTCACAATTTGTAGTGCTAGTGCTTTAGAATCTTTTTCGGGTGTTTTCTTCGTTTTTTCTGTTCAGTTGAACCTTTCGATATACCTAACACCAGGTACCTATTTTAACCACTCGAGCTGCTGATTTTGTTAAGTTCAACTGATCTGAGCAGTGAGCCTTGTGCCAAAACAATTGACGTTAGTTCAGTAGCATTCAAATCATTCAGAAAGCGAGTTGATTCAAAAGTTATTCTCTCACATACTCGATACTCTCGGTTCAAACTGAACTTATTCGACATCAATGTGAAGCTTGTTTTTTAAAAACCGAGTGATAGTGTGCAGTGGAAAATAAGTTCACTCATTGGAGATAATATTCAGGTATCGTTCCCGCGCTGAAATTCTGTGCCACCTAACGGAATAAAACGTAACTGCGCGAATTTTGTGGGCAGGCAAGATAAGATAATATATGAAATAATAAGGAAAACAATGTTTATTACGAAATAAGTGTCAGTTGTGGACTGACATTAGATGCAGTGCTTTGTGAGACTCTTTCTTAAATACATGCATCAAAGCTGTTTTATATAATATTCTTAAAATGCCAATTCCGTTGCAAACCATAACATTTGGAGCTATGGTCGTTGTAGCCGTAGGTACTGCAATTTATTATTATTTCGCAAATAATCCAAACAATATGCATTCACATGACGAATCCGTTTATGGGGAATTACCTCATCACGTTCCACCCGTATCTTCAGTCGACGACCGACGGCGGTACTGCCCAAAGTAATATTGCAATTTATTTCTTATTATATTTTTAGTTCTCGAAGGAAAACAAACGACAATCCAAGAGAGTGCTCGATTTGTTTAGATACTTTAAAAATATCCAAAACTCGAAGCCTATGTTGTGGACACATTTTTCATGACCGCTGCGTTAGTAAGTGGATTAGCAGCCAACAACCAAGACCTACCTGTCCTGTATGTCGACGAAGTGTACTCTAACAATATTTCATAAGAAATTACTAATCTATTATATGTATTCAATTTTCTAATATGTTTTGCTATAAATGATTGAAAAATTTTTGTATATTTATTCGAATGCACTTCAGATTTTTAAGTATGCGCACCTACAAACTGCAAAGGAGACCAAGTTTGGGATTAAAACTTTCCGGTCTAGCAAAGATAAAATCATATAATTTGCTAACAAATTCAATATTGATATGTTCAATATTGTTCATATCAAATCAAAATCGAGTTAAAAGTTCCACATTGGTTAGAAAATAACTAAAATTTGCACATCATGGCCGCGCCCATGCTAGGGCCATTTCTACCTCTATGCAACTGTTTGACCAGCAGTCCATCTTAATTTATAAGTTCGTGGGGTTGGGTCATTAAAGGCAAAAATAAGCGATATTTCTGAGACAGTGGCGAGCGATCCCACATAACCTTCGTCCATTTATTTACCGAGTGATATCATCGACATATATATAAATGGACTGTGCGTGCCAATGCTAAACGCGGATATTGCAGGTGAGAGAGAAAGGAAATCTAAGAGGCAAGCTCTATCGATTTTCTGTTTGTCAGTTATGACTTTTGGTCGCATTCAATCGACATCGTTGTGATAATGGGTTGCCTAAAAAGGCTCCAATTAATTAATATGGCAGCCAGATCTTTGTTTGTTTTAAGAAGTTATTTTGGCTGCATAAAATTAGGTGCCCTTCAGCAGAGATTTGGTCATTTAAAAGTAGACATAGGGAAAAACAATACACGTCAATCACTATGTCCACTTCTTAATAAATAGCACTGTATATTATGGTCACTAATCTGCGCCCCTGCGTCATTAATTTGTGAATTAAATTCAAACAAGTATAAAAAATATATAGAAATGACAATCATTCACAAATCCATGACGCTTTGTTGTTTTCTTTATTTGAAATGTTTCTTAAAATTCCAAAAAGAAAAATGTATTTTGCGGATGATTAATAGTACTGCTCATCGTGATTACACTACTGTCCATTTTCACGTAATTTTTACAAAACTAATTTCTCGTAATTTGTTTGACTGACATTAATGTTTGACAACTGAATTTATCACGATCCGAGATCTTGATTTTTGCTGCACACATGTTTCCAAGGCAACCCTACAATGTGAGCTGAAGAATAATGACAAACTGGGTATACGACAGTTGAATAATAGACAACTTTCTCAATTAAAAACGCATCAGTATTCTACCTATTATTTAATGAGTAGAAAAATTCTTTTTTTTGTATGTATATTGTCCTGTAACATAAATTTAAAACGTGATTTATTTTAATGTTTATTTATATGAAATTGCAAGTAAGGTACACACGTAAAACGAGTGCATGCTTTAAATACGGAAATTTAATCAGAATAAATTACATTGCAAGACTTAATTTTGAAGATCGTAGTTCACCGAGTACCAATGGAAATAGGCGGGAGAAAAAAGTGGCCGCCAAGAAAAAAACCAGCCAGCAAATTAATGTTAAACGTATAGCACAATTTTATTGATTGTTTGTATTAGGACAATTGTCAAGTAAGTTTATGAAGTGTCCAACCTTAGGCATCATTGAAATTCCTAAGAAATCAATATTTGACACACATAACATAAAAATAACAAACATTATAATAATAAATTCACATGGTTTGAATATTGTGTGGCCAGTCCAAATATCCCACACATCACACAGAGTTGTCTTTAGTTGCTTTATAATAGTATAGTCGCCCAAACAAAGGGAACTCGTTAGTCGTTGGTGACAAAAGCGTACTCGTTTAACTGATGTTGGTGTACAAAATTCGCTACACTGCTCACCTCTTAAAACTGTTGCAGCTCGCAACACTGACAACGGTTGTCCCTTTCTTCCATTTTCGAAAAGTCATAAGTATCTGCTTTTATATTCCTTATCGCCGGGGTCTAATCCTTTCTCAAGTTGATGGCGCCTTGATATCGTTCTAGAAAGTTCGCTACAGTCCTTTTAATATACTTTAGCATTGTTGTCAGTTAATTACTGTTAGTACATAAAAAAGATGCTGTCGCAGTTACTACCAAATACCTTGAGATTAAGATTATTACCATAATAATAAAACTGCATTGCTGTAAGATTCAATAATTCGGGTTATCTGTAGAAAACGTACTAAATAACGTAAAATAACGTCAAGGAGTTATGTTTGACGTTTCTGATACATAACAGAGCTGATTGTTTCGTGCGGTCTGAATGATACAGAAAATGTTGAGACACTCTGTATAAATGTTCATAAGCTGTAGAAATATGGAAGAATGAATTATGTCAACAGATTTGTAACATTTAAAAATTAATAAATCACTGAAATGCTCTCGTCAATTTTTACCCAACAAACAAATTACAAATAAGTCAATAGAAAAGTCTGACAAGAATTTTGTATAAGATGCGATAGTTATATTTCTTTAAATTAATTATTATAATTCAAAATTCATATAGTACCACAATTTGATGTAAGTGGCAGCACCACTTTGGGTGTGAAAAACCTTACGATCATACATACTCCCGTAGATAGCGCTTAATATAGTTAATACATGTGTTAAAAGTGAGCCAACATTACTGACAGAGAAACCTTATTTTTTGTCTCACAATTTTTAGTATACTTGCGCACTAGCTGCTATAATCAGCTGTGGAATGCTTTGAATTGATGCATAGGCGTAGAAGATGTTTTTTCCAAGGGTAAAAGAATTGGCAAGTAAACTAGTAATTATTTTAAATTTCGGTGAAATTTTACGTGCTTTAACTATTACAAGAAATGTATAGAGTAAAAATAGGAATGTGTACATTTTCGTACTAATTCGAAATTTATGCACAACCAATTTAAAATGGCGGAATTATTCACTTTAATTCGTGCTTTTTTTTCTCCATAAACACTATGCACGATTCTTGAATAAAATACACCATTTACAGACATACTTTCAGAAAAGTTACAAATATGGGTGGGTACTTGGGTATTAGTGGACTCAATACACTCCAGGAGTATTTGGTTCTGCATCAATGATTTGAGAATAAAGCTTAGGAGTGTTTTGTCCAAAACACAGCAACATGAAACAGATGTGCAAAATTAGTATCAAATTTGTCTTGATTCAGAAGTCGATGCCGTAGTGTCAAGTATTCCTGGCCATGATATTAATGCTGCGTTCGGATACTCAACTCTGAGTGCACTGTGTAACTCCACACGCACAAAATCATTTGGGAACAACCAAAACATGCTGTGCATAGAGTTAACACAGTGCTCTCCGAGTTCAGTATCCGAACGCAGCATAACTAGACTGTAGTATTAGGTATGATGCAACAAGAAGTGAAATATTACATCAGATAAAAATAAACATACAGAATTCTTTATTCGTTTTTAAACAATGTTAAATGATTATAAAATTTTCTAATCCTATTCTCCCTCTCTGATGCCAGTTTTGCAAAATAATGTAACCTAATATTAATGTAAGTTTGAATGATAACATCAATCAATTGATTCCTATGATTATTTAGAACAGTTTGATTTAACATATGTTGCTGCATTGCAAAAGAACTAAAAATATTACTATCAACTAAAAATTTGGTTTGGCAAGCTAAATACAATTTTATATTATTCTTTACAAATATACATGCCTCAGTTTGACGACAAACACGCTCACAAAGTAAACAGAGACGATGAACGTCTTTTGATGCCTTCGTAAGGCCTCCCCTATCCTTTATGTTTATTAGTAGTGAAGAAGAGTCTTTTGATACAATGTCATTCAAGCATATTTCACAGTCTAAACCTTTTCTCACTTTTCTTACCACAAATCCGGACATATAACCCACTACGTCATTAATGTATGGATTTAGACCAAAACTATCATGATAGGCATGATCTAAAGTTATATCGTCGTGATCAATTTCTAGCGTGCTTGTATCAATTAAATAGTCTACGGGTTCTCTAACATGCGCGGATGTTACATGCAAAATAGTGACCGATTGATAATCTATACAATTTCCAAATTGTGATCCCCATACTTCATGCCGCACTAGCATGCGCTTATAGATACGTAAGAACTGTAGCGCAGTGGGGTTGTTGCTGTTACCACCATAGCTTCTAACAGCAGAAAAAAATACCTCTAAATGGTCTTGACTTAATTTATAAGATAATAAATATGTCATTGAGGTTTTTTGTATTAATGTTTTATAAATGTCTATAAGATTAGTTAAACATATGATTATTCCCAAAAATCCTGTCTTCCTAGTAGAATTAATAAGTAACATATTATCGCTAGTCTTCAATTGAGCTATATACTTAATACAACCATTTATGTACTGAATATAAGCTTCACAAGTTGTTTGAGACATACATTGGTTAAACTCTTTTTTCGAAAATTTATTTCTACTGTTTAATAAATCAAACGCATTATTGATAATTTCGCAAAAATATGCAGTGCTTTCCGCACCTTGAAACTCGGGCAATTTTATTTGCTTTTCACAATATAATAATGCACTTGCTACACTTGAACTTAATGTTTGTGCAGCAAGTTTCACATTCATTTTTTCATTTTTAAAATTGATATGTCTGTTACTTAATTTATTTGCTGCATGAAGTCCTTCTCTCTCTTGGTAATTTTGCAATTTGCTTAAAAAGTCCCACTTGATTAAATTACCGGCCGGATCTTGTATTGTATTTTTGTCACAAAATGTATTTCTAATTAATTTTAACATGTGGCACGCGTCCCACATAACATAAATCTTTTCCTTTGTAGTGGGATGATATATGTACGGTTTAAATGTCTGTCCATATTTAAAACAAGCCCCTAACTCTGTGCACATAGCAATATTTACAGCTGCACCATCAAATGTCAATGAATATATTTTTACATTGCTTTCATGACACAGTTTCAAACAATGTTGAATTAAATTTGAACGCTGTTGTGCATCTAACGAGCTTATTAAAAAATAACCCACTGGTATCTTCCAATTACTGTTTAATGCCACTAACATCAAAACTAATACATTTCTTGCTTCTGGAAGATAATCATCCTCATTACAATAATTTGTACCAATATCCACAAACCCATGAAATTGTTTCCCATCCCATTCAACTTTTTGCATAATCGCCATTTCATCTACCACTAAATTACATATGACATTATTATTTTTACTATGTAATTGCAAAACATCAAAGGCTTCTTTAGTAAATCCTGGTTTGGCATCTACTACTGTGTACCACTTCCGCAACGTTGCAGGGTGTGGCAGTACATTTTGAAATGTTTTCCGTACATAATTATAAGCTTTGGAGGAATAAAACTGTAAAGTTAAGGCAAAAGCACGGAGACTAGGAGAGTATTTTTTTGTTGTCGGATTTTGTAACTTCCTTGTCACAATTTGCTGCAACGCATCAGATGACAAATTCTATAAGAAGTTTTGTTATTTTGTTTGTAAAAGTAATAGGTAGCACTATACCATAAGTAGATCTTGAGTATTATTTGTAATTAACTTCTTGTTTCTTAAATGAATCAGCAAACTATTCATATTAGTGACTTTTAACTGGAGCCGCTTATTTTTTTGCTTCAGTGCTTTAATTTCTAGCCGTTGATTTTTAATTGTGGTAACAGCAGAGAACCAAAAACGTTTCCTGCGTCTTGGCGACTCCAAATCTTCTACACGAACGTCACCTATGTATCTTGCATTGTAAATTCTTCTTCTCTTAGTGGGAATTGGGTATAGACATCTGCAATGGAATGTAATAGATATAGAGCTTCTAATAATCAGTTCTTTACTTGCCTTTGGTCACTAGTTGATGTAGATGTGCCTCAATATCACATGCACGATCTTTATCATTAGTTTCAACAGACCATTTGGAATGAGCTTATCACAAACGTAAACCCAAAATATGGTGGACATCTATAATCACGGTTTTAGTTGTATCAATCCCAAATGGCTACAAGTGTTGATCGGGCTAACTCGTCGAGCCGATCCGGTGGACACTCCACCTTACAACGACTACAAAAATTGATAAAGCTGCTTAAATGTACAAAATAGACATGTAGCTCCACTAAATTTACTTACGATGTGGAAGGTGCTTTAGTCACACTTATTATATTGCTTGTGTCAATATTTTCATTACTTTGAGTGGATGCAGAGGATTGGATTACATTTGCGTTGCTGCTGAAGATGAAGGATTTTCCCAATTGAAATGATTTAGATCTGAAATAATGACCTTTTTAAAAGACACTTAGTTACCGTAGTCAACTTACGATTTCACGATTCTTGTCATATTTTGTGATGGTACAGCGGTCGATTTTAATAAGCGACTACCTGTAGTGTTGTACACTTGAAAATCTTCAATGGTAAAATGTTTAGAGCACAATTTAGCCTGTTTCGGAATAGTACCAGGTAGTTTACATGCTTGCAGCCACAGTGAACGAGAATCTTGGTTCTTTGGAAATCTAATCACATTAAAAAGCTTTTATTTATGAAAAGATAAGTATAATTATATTGGAATATTTAGTTAAGTAATACAAAGATTAATATGCCTGTGCTATTTTTAGGTTATAAATAATTTACTCACCCATGAAACGAAATAGAGCTTCCTTTTACGTAAGGTTCGTTACACAATGCGCAAATCATTATAAAACGATTATGAATATGTAAAAATCCAATACGTACGACACAAATAACATAAAGAAAATTAATATCTATTAATGCACGTCACTGATTAAGTTGTCAGAAACACGACAGGTGGGTGATTTATGCGCAAGTACGTTGAAAATTGTGAAAAAGAAATTGTCTATCTTTGTCACAAATGATGGCACAAAATTTTGAGCGTTTGCTTCATCTAGGGAGTATGTATGATCGAAGGTAGGTAAACTACTGATTCACAGCGCCGCGCCGGAATAACAGTAATAATTTCAACTGTTACCGTTGTCTTTAACCAAATGGGACGTTCCCTTATTCTATTCCTGGAATAGGGTTTCTTGCATATTGTAATTAAAGATTGGTTGACGTCACGCAGAAAACTCTACAAGCCGCATGCGTATAAATAACAACCGCGAAAGTGGGTAATGTTTGTACAGATCTGCAAGAGGGGAACATTCATATTTTGACAACGTAAAAGCATGTGGAGCTTTAATGTTTTGTTTATCTTATATAAATCTTTAATTCCTCTATATCGATAACAAATCAGAAGGGCATTGTATAGTGATTTCAATCAATAAAACTCCACGGTTATTTTCAAGTGAAAATGTACGGCACACGCATGTTTTCAAGATGGCAATGGTTACGATCACCCGTTGACCAAACGGTTTTTTTGTAAAACACTAATGCGTGGGAATGTAAATTTACAACGGAATACATCTGGTGAAAATCGAAACGACAATTACGATCTTATGGCATTATTGGTTTTTACGCAAACACAGTTAATGTCAACATATGATGGAACGTTTAAATGCCAACAACCAACGTTCAACACAACTATATACCAGCGGAATATTCCGGATTAACGAAAGGAACGTCTACGAGGAGTACGATGGAACGACATTTTGACGTAAATGTCCTCATCCAATAAAATCCATTGACGGCTATAAATCAACTCCATCTTTCGCCTGCTCAGCAGATCCACTCCACGCAATACCCTAAGCACTAAGCAGTACCTTCCTATAACCCAGTGGCGGCTCGTCAGGTGAGGCAAGTGAGGCTGAGCCTCACTTCCAAATTTGTCAGTTTAGCTACATTATACATCAAGCACTCGCAAAATAATAAATTATTACAAGAATTCTTAAAATTCTTTACAATACCTTGTAAATTACTGAAATATGTGTAAATTAAGTCAACGTTAAGCTCAAATTTCAGAGCTTAATATGTTTCATTCTTAGCGTGTGCTGCAGTGTTAAATCTCCTGATCATACTTTACGCGCTCATGAAGCTCGAATAATCGAGCCTCTTGATTTGAGTGAACATGGTCGTGTATACTCGGGCGTTCCTAACGCATGTTTCGGAGATTTGGCGAGTTTGAATTAATGATTTACGTCTTTTCGAGAATAGCACTACTTGCGAATTGCGATTGCCGTTAGTTTACGTGTACACTTTACAGGCATATTGCTTTGCATTCTGTATTTTATTTCCATTCAGTTCAGGGCATTCACATTCAGTCCGCAGAGCATTCGACTTTTAGTTTACGCTTACTGAAAATCTTATATTCTTATTCCATTCAATTATTCAAATTATGAATCCTCAACATGATGTTGTAATGTCTCTATTGGAAACTCCGTTTACGCGACGTAGCGAAACGGAAAAGCGAGAAATTTTAAAATTCCACCCTACTCCAAAAATAGAAATTGTTTCTGAAGATCGGAACCCAAAAGAAAAACGTACATATTCCAGAACATTTCAGTTATCTTGGTACGAATCACATAAATGGTTAAGTGGTAGTGTTTATAAAAGTAAATTGTTTTGCTGGCCGTGCCTCTTATTGGGAAATGTAAAAAGCGTTTGGAATAGAGACGGATATAGTGATTTAAAAAACTTTTCTCGAAGTGTCAAACTACTTATTTAAGGAACACTATGTCTCAAGAACGCCTTTGCGGATTAGCTTTACTATCAATTGAAAAATGTTTGTTGACCAGTTTAAGTGCAACTCCTCAATTCTATGACGATATTATTAATATGTTTGCGTGTATGAAAGAGCGTAGAATAGAATTATTATACAAAAACTGAAATAGTGTGAGAGTTGAGAGTTATCTTTGTTTATTTTTTCAGTGTGAAAATTACCTTTATTCATTTATTCTGTTATTTAAAATATAAATATATTATATTTTAAAATATATTTATTTTATCTACTTACTCTGGATAAATTATTTTTATAAACGATTTAAGAGAGAGATAATAATAGAAATATCGAATAATCTCTTTTCAATTATTTTTAAAATGGGGATGTGTGGTGAGCCTCACCTACTTCATGTCCCACGAGCCGCCACTGCTATAACCAAATTATATATAATTCTATACAACCTCGCAGCATGTCCCATGATTTTCAGGCGCCTTTAAGGTTTTCAACGCAGTTAAAAAGACGGGAGGGTATTTCAGGATCACTTTACCCATTTAACACAACAATATTGTAGAGAAAGAAGTACGAGATGAAGAGAAACATCGTTTAAAAAGTTAACAGTAGTCTTTAATAATTGAAATGTTTAAATATAAGATTTTTGACACGTTTTTTTTTATAAAATAATTTCTAAATATATTAAAAATTATAGCGCTACAGTTTAACAGCTATTGACAATATTTTATTGCATTGCAATTTGCTAGTTAGAATTCCCATAGAATCAGTACAGATAACATAATTAGCTATTGCACACATTTCCCTACGGCAAGAGTACCTACTTTTCCAGGCCATTAGGCATTAACTTTATATGCACTATACAATGAAAGCCTGTTTCGCAAACTATGCGAATATCCCATCCAATATTAGGAAAGAAATTGTTTCCACGAAAAAGGAACTAAACGGTTCTGTATCTTATATGGTATAATTTTGGCATAAATGCGCCAAGTAATTCGAAATTAAGAGAAGTATATGTATGTGTAGGTATTGACTAGGTAAGTATATCGTCTACTTATATTCTAAAAAAATATTCATGCACATGATGAGAATTATGAACATCAAATGTAACAAATAAATTAAGAGTGCACAATCTACAATATTTTACTGTATGAAGTGTATTACTTATATGAGCCGATATTTAAAATTATTTGGTCAGAAATTCCTTACACAGAAAATGAAATGTATGCTGCCTACATTTGTCATAAACTTCATCAAGTAGTATTACAATACTTGCACCAAAATACATGGTTTTTGGCGTAACAACTAAGTAATCGTATTCTCCTTAAATAAGCGTACAATTTTCACATTAAAAATTATCGACGTCGTTTCCAAGAGAAAAGTACAAACGTCTGGTAATTATTAATGGGAACGTCTCGAACAATTCTTGTAAAAATAGGGAAAAATTCATTTTTTTTTTAATTCGATGTTAATTTACAAAGGACTTGAGTTATTATTTATAAAATATTGAGCTATGCATTGTTTCGATTTAATTAGAAATTGGTTTATATCGTCGGAGTTTGAGAAGAGTTCTGCCGGTAATGGTTTTAAGCAATGTACCAATTTCTTCCGCACTAAGGTTTTCCACATCTTGTCCGTTTATTGAGATGAGCAGATCACCTTTCGTTATCTTACCGTCGATGTCAGCAACTCCTCCACTTAACTAAAAAATAATTAAATGAAAGTTATATACATGATGAGAATTTCTACAGTAATGAAAAATACGAAAAAATGGCACAAAACTATATCTACAGTTCCGTTAAAGTACACATAATCATGCGCTCTGATGTATGATAATAGTACAATGAGAATTAAAGCATACACAAACAAGAATCGCATCGTGAAGAATCGCATATACGATTTTCAGTAGGGGAATTTTTTGCCACTCGGCTCGTATTTGGGAACCAGACTTTTTACCTGGCTCATATTCAATAGCACTGATCTTTGAACTCATAAAAATCGATTGGCGAAAGTATGACTTCACTGTCTCTTTTCGTTCTTGAGTTAGACGAGGAACAGACGGACAATTAACCATCACACAAATTCCCCTAATAAAAATCCGACGTGGTACTAATGGAATTGAATGCTAATGATATATGATGTATGGGCCTGAATGGGGTTTCACAACAGAGGGCACAAATTCTTGTGGAAATGACATGGGCGATGATATATTAGGGAACTGTCATTATAATGTAAATTAGTTAAATAGAGCCTGTGGCATTGTGGCAACTCTGCTGGAGGCTTTGCATTCTGTGAGATACGCTTCCTCCTCGGATACTTGGAGACGAGGTTTCGGGATCTAAGAAGTACGCATCCAACGGTACTACCTCCAATGGAACATATGTTCTACTTGTAATTCGAAATGAGCGTTTTAATTTTTAAAAGAAGAAAATCGCCAGAATACCGCAACTCGTGTAATTTTCTGAAAAAATTCAAGCAATTCCTGGATCTATACCTTACGTTTCTTGAAACTAATAACCTCTCACTTTCAACAATTTCTTCTCCAAGGGCGAAGAAGTGATAAAACGCGTATCGAACATTTTTTTACGACGGCCACCACACTTTCTTCTATATCTATATCTCTATCTGCTGCGGTTGTTGAGCTATGATTTTTTTGCAACAGTCCAACAAATTTGTAGGTAAGTAACTGTATAGTAGTAACATTATAAATATGTTTGGGTGGCCATGTTATTCCAAACAGAATAGGTATAGAATCTAGACATTTTAAGGAATAGAGAACAGATTACACTATATATAAATTGCACAATGACCCATAATATTCTAGGAAGGAAAGGCCTTTCCAAACCAAATATGTCACTTACCCTAATTTTATGGGTTGTAGGTAGGCCTAACGCTAAGGTATGAAGACATCAGTGAGGAAGTTGCATTTCAATATCACCTTCGAACACAAAATTGATCTATTCCAACGTTTTTAAAAAATTTGCTCTTAACTACTTATCTGAAAATAGCATTTGCATTTCAATACTTCACCCGGTATACGTAAATTGTAAACAGATAATTGTTTTTGGGGCCAGAAATAAGATCGACGAGTGAAAAGGAAGGCGAGTTTGAATCTAAGCGATTCAAAAACCTCGACATGACCCGTTTCGGGCGTTCAGTGTTCGCTACCTACAGTCCTTCTTTACGAGGTCTCGAGTATAAACCACCAATCGTGTAATCCTCTTTCCTAAGCCTGCCAAACACCGACATGGCACAGTGACCGCTCTTTGGATGGACCAACGTGCACGTATCTTGGCCGAT